GGTAAACCTGTCCAATCTCCACAAGGCAGCAAAAGACATAGCTGATCCATCACCGGTCTGTGCTACAACACCTAGCGAAACTACTCCAACTGGTTGAGCTGCTAGAGTCTGAAACTGGGGAGCCATCTGCTACGGAGTATGAGTAGTGGGAGTCTGTGCTCCTCCCCCAGCACGAGAGACGGCTGGTTCTACAGGAAGTATGCCGGCCTGAGTAACACTCTCCATAAGGCCCACTAGACGGATCAAAGCATCCTAAAGTACAGGGGTAGCTGTGAACCCCTCTGGAACCTGAGTTGTCCCTGCTGGAACGGTCTGTGCCGGAAAACCTGAGGTTCCGCCGCTGGTGCTGTTGCTCGAGCTCTGGGCTGAGCCCTACCCCTGCCTCAGCCTCTAGCACGGCCTCGGCCTCGTCCTCTGCCCCGCGTAGGAGCTGCCACTGGCGGCTCGGGCTACTGATCAGCTGATGAAGCGGTACGTGTTCTTGCCATCTGCGAAAGAATAGAGTAGAGAGTTTAATTAACATTGAGAGATCAAACCGCACGACAGAGATGATTAGAAGAGAAATTGTTCCTAAATCTATAGCCTTTGGGGGATAAGCACAGACGTCTCCGTACCGATCTCTCAGACTCTACCAAGCTTGTCCGTGAATTGTGAGACCTAGGCAACCTAGTGCTCTGATACCAACTTGTCACGACCCGAATTTTCCACCCTCGGGACCGTGATGACGCCTAACATTGCACTCGCTAGGCAAGCCACGTTACAATATATTCACCTTTTTCCTATATCCTTTTGTAATTAAAATTTAACAAAACTATTCAGCGGAAATAAAAGCAGAAGTACATGATTTTACTAATTAACTTTAAACTATTAATGAAAGCCGAAATAGATACCACCCAGAAACTGGTGTCACAACTCACAAACAGTCTACGAATACTACAAGTAATGGTTTGAAAGAAAATACATCTATCTCGAAGAAAGTAGAACAGAAATGAAGTAAAGATAGGAGGGGACGCCAGGGCCTGCGGACGCCTGCAGGACTACCTTGGGTCTCCTAAATGCAGTAACAACAACCAACCACTCGATCAGCAACTAGCTCCGAAATCTACACAAAAAATGCAGAGTGCAGTATCTATAATCGACCCCATGTACTGGTAAGTGCCGAGCCTAACCTCGACGAAGTAGTGATGAGGCTACGATGGGGCATAAAAATATATATAACGTGCAACAGTTTATAGAAAGACAGAAAGGAAATACAAAATGAAATATAACAGTAACTTGCATAGAATAAATATGGAACCCGGTTGTTCTACCAATACTCAGCTATAACCAATCCTTAAGGGTATTTCAACACCACAGTAATGAACCTCAGCAGAAGAAAAATACATAAACAACAAATGATGCTGCGCGCATTCCGATCCCACCATATAGTCAATAACAGTATAAACATCCACCGTTATTACTCCTTGTTGCAGCGTGCAACCCGATCCCACCAGTCCATCCTTATTACTCCTCAATATATATATCACCCTTATTCCTCCTGTTGCGGCGTGCAACCCGATCCCACCTGTCCACCCTTATTACTCCTTGTTGCGGCGTGCAACCCGATCCCACCAGACAATCACATTTCACCCTTATTCCTCCTGTTGCGGCATACAACCCGATCCCATCACATCAGTACCAATCACAAAGTAAAAACAAGTATTTCACAAGTTAACTCAAATACTCCTCAACACTTATACCTCAAACCAAAAACAACGAAAGATCACTACAATTATGAAACTTCATCAGTTATTCCTACACAGCGAGACCAACCAAAGTGTACCACGAATCACCAATAAACCAACAGTTTGATATAATGAAACTACGGAACAAGTAATAACATCAATAGAGAAACAACATTTAACAAGAAGCAATTAGACATGGGAGCATCAATAAGCAAGTAGCAATTAAGATAGGAAAGCAATATATATTGGGAAACAGGGAAGGGAATAGGCTAAATAGGAAATTTGGCGATGCATAGGTGCTCGTCACCACACCTATACGCCACACACATGGTAATTCACATAGCAAGCAAGTCGGGGATCCCTAATCCCTCAAGTCAAGGTTAGACCAAACACTTACCTCAAGCCAACGGTAATTTACAGCTCAAATATCGTTTTACCTCTCGATTCCACCACCAATCCACTCGTATCTAGCCATAATTAACTTAATAACATCAACAAACTCTAAAGAAACCAATTCCAATGCATAATTATAGATTTTCCAACATTTTCCCCAAAAAGTCAAAAATTGACCCCAGGCCCGCTTGGTCAAAACCTGAAATTCGGATCAAAAACCGATTACCAATTCACCCCCGAGCCCGGATATACAATTGGTTTTGGAATCCGACCTCAATTTGAGGTCTAAATCCCTAAATTTCGAAATTCCTAAGTTCTACCAAAAAATACCCAATTCCACCATGAAAAACCCTAGATTCTAGGATGAAATATTGTAAAAAGATGAAATAGATTGAAAGAAATGAGTTAGGAATCATTTACCTATAATTTGGGGATGAACTAGTCTTTGGAAAATCGCCTCTTGAAGTTTAGGTTTTGAAAATTTGGGAAATGAATCAAAATCCTGTCTAAGTCCCTTTTTGCACAGTTGCAGATGTTGAATTTGCGACCCGAGCTTCGCAATTGCGAAGCTCGCAAATGCGAGACTGGCATCGCAAATGCGAACCTGTCGCATTTCTACTACTGTCGCAAATACGAACATTTGGTCGCAATTGCGATGATCCCCCTTCCCTGACTACTTCGCAAATGCGAAGGTTATTCGCAATTGCGAACATAGGCTGGCCCAGCTTCCTTCGCATTTGCGATGAAAACCTCGCACAAGCGACCTCCACAGTGATCGCAAATGCGAACCCTGACCTCGCATTTTCGAGGTCTGAGGCCTGCAATACAACTGAAGCATACCAGCTATTTTTCTATGTTTCAAATCACTTTGTAGCCTATCCAAAATGCACCCGAGCCCTCGGGGCTCCAAACCAAACATGCACACAAGTCTTAAAACAACATACGAACTTCCTAGCGCGATCAAATCGCCAAAATAACCTCTAGAACTATGAATTCAACACCAAAACACATGAAATTTTCAACATTGTTTCAAACCTTTTATTTTCTCAATAAAAGATCCGAATCACGTCAAATCACTTCCGCTTTTCACCAAATTTCCCAGATAAGGTTTAAATGTCATAATTGACCTGTACCGGGCTTTGTAACCAAAATACGGGCCCGATACCAACAAGATTAAATCTTTTAAATTATTATATTTTTAGTCTTATCAATTTTTTTCAAAAATTCATTTCTCGTGCTAGGGACCTCAGAATTCGATACCGGGCATACGCCCAAGTCCCATATTTTACTACGGACCCTCCAGGACCGTCAGAACACGGGTTCGACTCCATTTACCCAAAATGTTGACCGAAGTCAACTAAAACCATCTCTTTAAGCCAAAAATCATCTTTTCTTAAGTTTTTCACATAATGCTTTCCGGATACGCTCCTGGACTGCGCACACAAATTGAGGAGAGATAAAATGATTTTTTCAAGGCCTCGGAACACGGAATCAGATTCTAAAATAGAAGATGACCTTTTGGGTCATCACTTAGATGGAAGATATTCTAAGGATAAATTTGATCCTTCTCTTCATGATTTGTGGGAAAAGTGCAATGCTATTGTGCTTTCATGGATAATGAACTCTGTGAGCACTGAACTATTAAGTGGAATGGTGTGTCCAACAAGTGCTCACAAGGTGTGGAGTTACCTTAGAGAACGCTTTGAAAGAGTGAATGGCTCGAGAGTTCTGTACTTGCACAAACAGATTGCCACGCTGTCACAGGGCATCTCATCAGTGTCCTCTTATTTCTCTAAATTGAAGGAGTTTTGGGCTGAATTTGATGCCCTTATGCCTTGTCTTGGTTGTGAAGAATCAAAGAGATATGTAGAACACTTTGAGTACCAAAGGTTGTGACAGTTTTTAATGTGACTGAATGAGTCCTATGCACAATCGAGAAATCAGATTCTGAATATGTCACCTATTCCCTCCATAAACAAAGCCTATTCTATGATCATTTCAGAAGAAAGTAGAAGGTCCTTGGTTAATCATTCCTCAAATGTAGCAGAAGTTCATGAGGGGACGACTTTGTTCACCAGTAAAGGTCACCCTAATTTATCTCAGTTTGCCAATGAATTTGGTCCTGCTTCATACCCCTCTAATCTTGCCTTTTATTCTCCCGGCCTTAAGAATCATAATCAAGTGATGTTCAATAATAAAGGAAGCTCATATCCTATCAATAATTTCAAGTAGAGGAAGAGTCAGCTGTATTGTGATTACTGCAGTTTCAAAGGCCACAGGGAAACCTGCTATAAGCTTAATGGCTATCCCTCAGATTTCAAGTCCAAGAAGAAGCATCCTTCAGCAAACTCAGCTGCTTATACTGGAGAGAATCAGTTCTCCAACAATGTTATACCAATCTACGGGAACTCTTCAACTTCACAAGCATTAGGCCACCTCACTAATAACCATCTTGCTCAGGCTGCAACAAGTGGAATTCCTCAATTTACACAGGAACAGTACAATCAAATCATACAGATGCTTGGAAAAGGAAGTGAGGATAGTGACTCAACTATGGCAGCATGTATGGTACATAATGCAATCCTTCCTGAAGATAAAACTAAGTGGATAATCGACACTGGAGCTTCTAATCATATGGTGCATAAGATTGATATACTGTTTGATCTAAAACACTTGGGACAAACTAAAGTAGGAAAAGTATGTCTACCTATAGGAGAGTTAGCCACTGTAAGACATCTAGGCTCCACATACATATTTTCTTGTCACAAGATATCTAATGTAATGCATATACTTGAGTTCAGATACAATTTGTTACTTGTCTCAAAGATTACAAAGGAGCTAAAGTGTGTAGCTATGTTCTTCCCTGACTTTTGTATATTTCAGGATCTCTTCAGTGGACAGGTGAAGGGGATTAGTAAGGAAGACTGTGGACTGTATGTGCTTACCTCTGGGAGTATAATGCAAGCAATGGAGGATGCACCTACTACAAGAAATTCAAGTTTTGTTCCAAAATCTCTCACTGTAAATACCACTGAGTTTACTAGAATAAATGTTGCCCTATGGCATAGTAGGCTATGTTATGTTCCTTTGGATATACTGAAAAAAGTAAGTGAACTTCAGTTTGTGAATTTTGATGATACTAAACACCATTGTACTGTCTGCCCAGTTGCTAACCAAACAAGATTGCCCTTTTCTTTGAGTACTTCAATGCTCATTCTAATTTTGATATCATTCATGCTGATGTGTGGGGCCCTTACAGGGTTCCTACCTATGATGGAAAGAGGTACTTTTTAACCATTGTTGATGATCATTCTAGATTCACAAGGCTGTATCTGTTGCCTAAAAAGCTGAAGTAATTGTGGTTCTTAGGAACTTTTTCTTAATGGTTAAAAATATTCATTCCTCTACTGTTAAAGTCCTAAGAACAAACAATGGCTGTGAGTTTTTTAATACTCAAATGACAGAACTGCTCAAATCACTAGGCATCACTTATCAAAGCTCTTGTGTTTACACTCCACAATAAATGGAGTGGCTGAGAGAAGGCACAGGCATATACTCAATGTAGCAAGGACACTCAGATTCCAAGCTTCAGTTCCACTCAGATTCTGGTAAGAATGTGTCACTACTGCAATTTATCTTATAAACAGGCTACCTACTTCAACACTCAAAAGTAGAACACCATATGAAATATTGCATGGTGCTCCTGCTTCTCTCATTCATTTGAGAGTGTTTGGCTGCCTAGGCTATGTGTCAGAGATAAGGAGAACTGATAAATTTGCTCCTAGAGCTGTTCCTGCAGTTTTTCTTGGATATTCTATGGTTCAAAAGGGCTATAAAATGTATACATTAGTTTCCAGGGAGTTTATAGTCAGTAGGGATGTGGTGTTTAAGGAGGATGTCTATCCTTTCAAACACACTATCTCTCCTATATCATCAGTATTCCCTATTTTAAAATTCTCCCATGACACTAATTCATAAAGCAATATAACATTATCTCCTCAAAATACTACAGACCTATGTAATGCACAACCTGCATATCCCTTAGTATCTGTTGAAGTTCCAAACTTATCAGCTGCTTCAGACACCAATATATCACCAGATGTAGAGTCTTCTACTGAGACTTCAGCACCAGTACCTCATCATGAAGTATCTGAACCTAGCAAAAAATCTCTTAGAGTATCCAAACCACCACTGTGGATGAAGGACTTTGTGGTTTCAACTCATGGGAAGTCCAACTGTTGTTATCCCATATCAAACTATGTAAGCTACAACAACATCTCTTCTGCCTATAGTGCTGCACTCAGTGCCTACTCATCTATTATTGAACCACAGTCCTCCAAGTTAAATATACAACCTCAGGAACAGTTAAAGATACAAAGCAAGGCTAGTGGCTAAAGGTTATAGCCAGCAAGAAGGCCTGGACTATATAGAAACTTTCTCCCATGTGGCCAAGATGGTCACAGTCAGGTCAGTTATAGCATTTGCAACAGCTAAGCATTGGTACATCTTCCAAATGGATGTGCACAATGCCTTTCTTCAAGGGGATTTGCTTGAAGAAGTATACATGGACATCCCACAAGGTTTTTCTACCCAAGGAGGGACAAGCAAAGTTTGTCGATTACACAAATCATTATATGGTCTCAAACAGGCACCACAACAGTGGAACAAGAAGCTAACAGAAGCTAACAGCACCACGACAGGCGGCCATGGATACACACCATGAGAGCCATCCCGTCAAGCCTATATCAAGTGATCAAATTCCCTACTCCGTGGAGCATCTGAGGCGAACAATGCACCGCCCAAGAATGCTACTGTATCGCCCAGGATTGCACATACACTCAGCAACTGAAGGGAACAGACTCAGAAGCATAGAAATTACCAAAGTCGAGGGCCGGACTTGACACACAAACAGACGTCATCAGGGACCCCGACATCGTGGAAGCCACTGAGCCAACGGTAGAAGATCTAGATCCCGTCCAACTAGACAGCTGTGACAGCAGCAAAAAGGCTTACATAGGACATAAACTCTTAGAACCAGGTAACTTTCATAAGTTTTTAATTGACAATGCCGATTTGTTCGCCTTCTCCCATGCAGATATGTCGGGTATCCTGAAAGACGTCGCCACACACAAGTTGAACGTCGACCCACTCTACCCACCAGTGCGGCAAATAAAAAGAAAATTCAACGCCGCAGTCAATGAGGTCGTCAGCGATGAAGTAGATAAGCTACTCGCCAACGGTTCTATCCGGGAATCAAATACCCCCAATGGGTCGCAAATGTGGTCATGGTAAAAAAGAAAAACGGGAAATGGCAGATGTGCGTGGATTTCACAGACCTAAACAAGGCATGCCCAAAAGACTCATTTTCTTTGCCTCACATCGACCAGCTCATCGACGCAACAGCGGGACACGAATTGCTAAGCTTCTTGGACGCCTACTCGGGTTACAACCAAATCCTCATGGAGGAGGAGGACCATGAGAAAACTACTTTCATCACCCATCAGGGAACGTACTGTTACAGAGTCATGCCATTCGGGTCAAAGAACGCAGGGGCAACGTACCAAAGGTTGGTCACCAAGATGTTCAATGATCAACTAGGCAAAACAATGGAAGTTTACATTGATGATATGTTGGTCAAATCAAAAAGGAAAGAAGACCACATCGACCATCTAGAAGAGGCCTTCAGTATATTAAGGCAATACGGCATGAAATTGAACCCCGAAAAATGTGCCTTCCGCGTAACCTCGGGCAAATTTCTCGGTTTCTTGGTATCACAAAGAGGCATCAAAGTAAATCTGGATCAAATCAAAGCCATTGAAGGGATACCTGAAGTGTCGACCAGCAAGAAACAGGTGCAAAAACTGACTGATCGTATAGCCGCCCTGTCGAGATTCATGTCACGGTCGTCCGACAGATGCCACAAATTCTTCAATGTTCTGAGAAAAGACAACGGGCTCCAGTGGAATTCAGAATGCATCGATGCCTTGAGAGAACTAAAGGCCTACTTGTCCTCACCCCCACTGCTCGCCAAAGTGGAACCTGGTGAACTCCTCCTAATATACTTGACCGTCTCAAAAGTCGCGGTAAGCGTAGTGTTGGTCCGCGAAGACAAAGGTAAGCAATCTCCAATTTATTATATCAGCAAAACACTGGTCGACGCCGAAACGAGGTACCCCCACCTCGAGAAATTGGCCTTGGCATTGGTCATAGCTTTACGAAATCTTAGACCCTATTTTCAGTGCCATCCCATATCGTTGGTAACGACTTTCCCCCTGCGGAGCATCCTACATAAGCCCGAATTGTTGGGAAGACTGGCCAAGTGGGCCACAAAATTGAGCGAGCACGATATAACATATCAGTCGCGAACAACTATAAAATTGCAGGTGCTTGCCAACTTCGTCGCCGATTTTACTGCCAAAATAATGCCCGAGGTCGAGCAGTAAGCCTCTCGTACCCCTCTTGGGCTACCCGACCTCTGGGTCCTATACACCGATGGCGCATCCAACGCGTCAGGGTCTCGACTGGGACTCGTACTCGAGGTCCCAACAGGCAAAGTTATTCGCCAATCCATACGGTGCCCCGATATGACTAACAATGAGGATGTATTTGCAAGATTAAAGCTAGCTCTCAAGTATGGAGCACGACGAGTCGTCCTCAGATGCGACTCACAACTCGTCGGCAACCAAGTTACAGGGACGTTCCAAATCAAAGAGTAGAGGTTACAAAAGTACCAGGCAGAAATTTATAAACTACTGCCATAATTCGATGAATGTCGACTCGACCAGATACCTCGAGCACAAAACATCGAGGCAGATGGCCTCGCCAAATTAGCAGGAGCCACCAAAAATATCACTAAAGAAACGTGGTCACCCTCCCCCACTCATCAATAGACCAACTTGAGGTACATTCTATAAATTTGACTTGGGACTGGCGCAACCACATCATGACATATTTGCAGGAGGGAGTACTCTCACAAGACAAAAAGGAAGCCAAAAAGGTTCGAATGCAGGCGGCTAGGTACAACATCATAAATCACGACCTGTACAAGAGAACGTTCGGGGGCCCCTTGGCGAAATGCTTAGGGCCGAATCAAACAAGGCGCGTGCTCAAAGAAGTACACGAAAGTCACTGTGGTGCCCATACAGGCAACCGAGCCCTCGTTAGATGCCTCACTCGGGTAGGATATTACTGGCCCACTATGAAAAAGGAAGCCGCAGATTACGTCAAGAGGTGCGAGTAGTGCCAAAAGTACGCAACTATGATACATCAAGCGGGCGAACACCTCCACTCAGTCACTTCACCATGGCCGTTCAACAAATGGGGAATGGACATCGTCGGACCCCTCCCAGTGGGGCGAGGTAAGACACGTTTTCTTTTGGTTTTAACTGACTACTTTTTCAAATGGGTGGAAGCAGGTGCGTTCACCCAAATACGCGAAAAGGAAGTCATCACATTCATATAGAGGAACATCATATGCCGTTTTGGCATCCATAAAGAAATTAGCTGTGACATTGGACCCCAATTTACTTGGAAAAAGATCACCGAGTTCTTTGAAAAATGGCTCATCAAGCGAATACTCTCCACGCGATATCATCCCGTCGGTAACGGTCAAGCCAAATCCTCCAACAAAACAATATTGAACATCTTAAAGAAAAAGCTCGAGGACGCCAAAGGGTTATGGCCAGAATTGCTACCAGAGGTATTATGGGCCTACTGCACCACGCCAAAAAGGAGCACAGGAGAAACGCCATATTCACTAGTCTATGGGACTGACGCCATGATACCTGTTGAGGTCGGGGAGCCTAGCCTGAGATGCTCCAACGAAAGCGGACAAAACAACGACGAGAACAGGAAACAAGACCTCGACGAAGCAGAAGAACGAAGAGACATGGCTTACGTAAGAATGGTAGCCCAAAAACAACAAACAAAAAAGTACTACAACAAAAAAGCCAAAATACGACCGCTCAAAGTCGGAGACTATGTTCTCAAGGCCAAAACACAAGCGAGCAAAGACCCGAAAGAAGGCAAACTGGGAACCAACTGGGACGGGCCATACAAAATTACGGCAACAGCAAGCAAAGGAGCATTCCAACTAGAAACAATGGAAGGAAAACTACTACAAAACAATTGGAATGTCGCCCACCTCAAATACTTCATCTTCTGAAAAAGGACGCCCCT